TCCCTACAACCTGGTATATATGACCTGCCCATAACAGAAAAAGATACAGGTAAGCCTGGACAAATCACATAGTCTTACTTACGCTCTCTCCCTCCCAGGAGGGCTGAAACGAAACTTTCTCTTTGCCTAACAAGGTATATACAGCAACTAGCACGCAATGCTTCTCTCTGGGAAAGGTCATGAGAGCCTTGGTGCCCAGGATTTCTAAAGAAACTGGCAAGTTTGAAATTCACTGTAAACCATATTGTCTCAAGTGGGAACACTCCCCAGATCCAGGTTCCCAGATGTCAAACAGCCAACCTTGCAAGCAGGCCTTTCTGAGGATAGCAGTCTACAGCCTGCAATGTAAACTCTTTCAGTACAAATTGTTCTGGCCATTTTCCTCATGTGTTTTTCCAAACATCAAACTTAACAGTTTTCAACTTCAGTATCCTCTAATACCTGTCTTTTTTCAAATGTAGGCTGTGCAACTAAGTTGTTTACGAAGTCCTGTTTTTAAACAGGCCATGCAAAGTCTTTGTTCTAAAAAATGAACAAATAAATAATCCAAAGACCAGGTTCAAAAAGATGAGGACCTACAGGGTCTTTTCTTTTCTTTCTTTCTTTTTTATTTTTTTAGATTTTTTGCAATAGGGCCCGAGGGCTGGCAAGAGAAACAGGCAGAAAGCTGAAATGACGGGGAGGAGGGCAAAGGGGGGCTAATACGGCCATGCCGCAGTCTCTTCTCCATTCCATGCCCAGAATTTTGGGGACGCACGCAGCCAGCCACGTGGGAGTCCAGTGCCTTAACCACTCCGCCACCTGCTGACCCCAGCGCTTACAGTTTTGCTACTGTATCACGCTCAGTTCTAAGCACTTCTCTCTCAAGCCTCACAACCATAGTTAGAGATAGGTTACTGTTATTCTCCCCTCTTTATTCTGAAACTGGGTGAGAGTGACTTGCAGAAGTGCTGGAGCAATCGCACCTAGGCAGTCCGACTCCAGAGCTCCTAAAACCGATCCTGCCAGAAAATCGCGGTTAACACGCTTTCTCCAGTCTAAGAAGCACACGCCAAGTTTGTGAAGATAAATGCGCTGTGAGGAGAGAGCGCAAACGGGAGAACAGAAGGGCATCGGGCCGCGCGCCTCGGTCACCAAGATGCGAGGATTCGGGTCCCTCGCTGGCGGCCCCTCTCCTGTCCCCGCTCCCGGCTCCTCCCGCGGCCGCTGGGCACCGAGCCCGCGGGACTACGCTCACACGGCCCAGTGACAGCCGGAAGCCCAGGGGCATCGGGAAAGCGAGGGACGGAGTGGTCCTCTTCCCATCCCCGCCCTCCTACAAGATGGCTTGGGTGGCAGAGGCGAAGATCGATAGACAGCGACGACCCCACAGCCACCGCGACCTCACCGTCGCGCCCCCAACTCACCCCGCCCGGCCGGGCCGCCGCGTCTACGACCCCAGAGACTGTTTCCCCCGCCGGCGGGCCGGCAGAGGCGGGGCTCGCGTGCCGTGTGCCCGCCCCCTGGCCCCGGTTCCGGGACCCGGTCTCCGACAGCGTGCAAGGGACCGGCGTGCCTTCCGTCGGGCCCGCATTCTTGGATTTGCCCAGCCCGGGAGGTCTCTGCTAACCTCAAACAGTAGGCATCGCCTCCCGATTGGGTCGAGAGAGGGTCCTGGAGTCCTTCTTAAGTCCTATTCGTTCCTGGACTTTCTGGGACAGCCTCCTTCACCTCCTAAACTTTAAAGTCACATCAGACGTGCATCATAAACGAGTAGTATCTCGTTTTGGTTTGTTTCTTATTAGTGTTGGCTTACCTCTCGTCCTCCCTTCCTACTTAGGACGTTTCTTTTTTTTTTTTTGGAGAGGGTTTTTGTTATAGGGCACGTAGGCCTTGCCGGAAAGAGACAGACAGAAAGTGAGAAATCACCCCCTCCCCCCCCCAGGGGAGGTGGCCACCCGCAATTCCTTCTCCTCCATTCTCCTCTCTCCTCTCTCGGGATCTTGGGCACGCGCTGGGCACATGCCCAGCGTTAAGCTTCCGGATCCGGGACTTGAACCGGGGTCTACTACATGGGAGTCCAGCGACATAGCCATTACGCCAACTGCTCTTCCCCTTAGTACATTTCTTTTTTTTTTTTTTTTTTTGAAGAGGTTTTCGCTATAGGGCGCGTGCGCTCGCCAGACAGACAGAGAGAGACATAGAGACAGCACCCCCCCCCCCATGGTCACACCGCAATCCCTTCTCCTCCATTTTCCTCTCGGGATCTTGCGCACACACGCACATGCGCCCGACGTAAGTTTTAAGCCACTGGGTCCCAGACGGGAACCGCAGTCGGCTACATGGGAGTCCAGCGACATAGCCATTATGCTAACTGCTGGTTCCCCCTTAGTACATTTCTTGACCTGCACTTGGGGTTCTTCAAAGCTCCATTACCTGTTAGTGTGTTTGTTGCATGTTAGTGAAAGTAGCTGGTTTGAAAATATTTGTTTGAGTGCTAGGTATTGCGAATGGCAATACTGGTTTTGGAGAGGCTCTAGAAATGTCCAGAACTAGGTGCAGGCAGGAGACGTGGTGATTAAGGGCTCTGAATTAATTCCCACGTGGTAGACTGTGGTTTGAGTCTTGGACCTGGTGGCTTGCTTTCTCTGTTTCTCTTTCTCTCTCTCTGTGATCAAATTTAAAAATAATAATAATAATAATAATTACAGCAAATGGAATTAAATAAATAAATAATTCTTAAAAAAAAAAAGAAAGAAAGAAATGTCCTAATCTGTCACATCTCTTCAGCCAAGGAGAAAGATGTGGCCTTATAGATAAAAGTTTTGGATTAGAAATCAAGATACCAGAATTATGGGCCAACCCAGTGACCATAGTTGTGCATAAGGAGCCTCATCCCCGCAGAAACTGTAGTAGAGGCTTTCAAAACATGCCAGGCAGGGAACCAGCAGTTAGCGTAATGGCTATGTCGCTGGACTCCCCCGTAGTCGACCGCGGTTCGCGTCTTGGACCCGGTGGCTTAAATCTCACGCCGGCCGCGTGTGCGTGCGTGCCCAAGATCCTGAGAGGAGAATGGAGGAGAAGGGATTGTGGCGTGACCATCCCCCCCGGGGGGTGATTTCTCGCTTTGTCTGTCTGGCGAGCGCACGCGCCCTATAGCGAAAACCTCTCCAAAAAAAAAAAAA